AGTTACCTTGAAAAACCCTTTTAAAATTTCTTTTACTAGTTTGTTTCTTAGTGACCTCCCCCTCCCTGAGGGCGTCTTTATTTCTCTTTCTTTCTTGAGAACATTTTTGTTGAATATAGAATTCTAGATTATCAGTTATTTTCTCTTAGCATATTGGTATTATTCTGTTTTCTTTTGGCCTCCATGTTGCTGTTGATGTCAGCTGTTACTAAATGTAATTTTATTGAAGTAGATTTATCTACTTACTTTTGGCTATTTTCATAATTTTCTCTCTCTTTTTTTTTAAGGTTCACTAACATTGAAGTTGTGGAAAGAGAAAAAAATAGCATGCGCGCACATTGACACACCCACATATGCATTCATGTCTTGCTTAGGATTTTTTTTTTTGAGTTTTAAAGTTTGAGGTTTGATATTTTTCATAAATTATGATAAATTCTTAGCCATTATGTTTTCCATAACTGCTTCTTCACATATTGCCTCTGTGCATAGTGTTCATGCATATTTCCTTTCCTTCTTGTGTGGTTCTTGTTCACTGTGTATAAGAACTCACAACATCCTGTCTCCTAAATTTTCTTATATAGTTTTCATCATTTTGTGTTTCTTTCTGGGTAATTCCTTCTGACACCTTTCAATTCACTGAACGTATCTTTATTTGTATTTAGCCTGTTGTGAAATCTATCCATTGAATTCTTAATTTTGTTTATTATGTTTCAGTTGCCAAATTTCTGTCTGTTTCTTTTTCATACCTGCTGTATTACTATTGTGGATTTCATTTCCCTGCTAAAATTTTCAAGCTTGTCATTTTTTTCCTTGGCCATAAGTGGGGTGTTTTGGTTATTGATTGATTATTCTAGTATCTGGAGACTTTATTGGGTTGTATCTTTTTTTTTTCTCATAGTTTCTTTTAATTTGTGTGTGTGTGTGTGTGTGTGTGGTTCTTGGTATTTTGTGTCTTCATGTTATATTTTGGTAATATGTTGGTCAATGTGTTTGAACAATTTTCGGTAAGAATAACTTGAGAAGAAGGGTTATGATATCAAATCTTTAAAAAAATTTTTTTTAATGTTTATTTTTGAAAGAGACAGACAGAGCATGAGTGGGGAATGGAGGGTCTGTCAGCACAGAGCCCAACATGGGGCTTGAACCCACAGACTGCGAGATCATAACCTGAGCCGAAGTCAGATGCCCAACCAACTGTGCCACCCAGGCACCCTTCAAGTCTTATTTTGAGAATAGATTTCCCAACTTCTACTTCATATCCTGTGTAGTAAAATAAACATGAACTGAATGTTCATTATAAGTTAGGCCTTTTTTTAGATGCAAGTGATAGAGATATTCAATTTTTTTTCCAGATAATTCAGTCATTTGGAGCCAGTTCTGTTAAAAAGTGGGTAACAAACTGTGTAATATGATTTTTGTTATTATTAAGGTATTTTGAGGTGGGGCTGGTAGGATTTTTCTCACATACTGCTCTTAGATTCCTAGAAGTATGAAGTACTCCTCCTGAGAGATACTTTTCTAGAGAAACGGCTTTCTTAACTATGCCGCTCAATGTCACCTACTTCAGAAAGCCTCCACAATCAGGGTACTCTTTTAAAAAAATCTAATTAAGTGACATCATTTAGAGCCCTCTTTTAGAACTTCTGCTCTTTTGTTGTGAGGATTAGGATGATGATGGTGGAACTGTGTTCTGATTACTTCAAGGTCACTCATAGAAAGAATGTTCTAAATGATAGTTTCTTTTTGGGGTGTGTGTGTCATATTCTGGTAGACTATTTCCATCCTTGTCAGTCACATCCATCTCCTTTTGATGCAGTTTTGGAAAACTTGCTTAGATGTGAAAAAAGAGATGAGGAGATTGATACCCTCGCATCCAGAGGTGATATGTAGAGAATATGAATACTTTAGTTGCTATTCAAGCCAAGTATCAGGAGAAAGATCATCCTTATTACTGTAGGTGCCATCCAGGGATGACTAGGAGAAAAATATCTTCCTTATAGCCCCTAGAGCATTACTGACAAGCAATATGGGGATGTTTGTTACTATCTCCATCAGGTAAAATGCATGAGAAATGCTTATGATTTTGTTAATCCTTTTCAGTACTCTAGTCAGCTTCATTGTGGGGAAAAAGATTTTTTTTTTAATAGGTTGCTTTAGGATCAAACATTTTAAACATTGTATTTGTGAGAAACTGTGTCCAAACCACTAAGTAGGAGGCATATTTAAAAAATAACCTGTTTCAAAGTGGTAGGCTTTATGTAGATTAGAATTAGGGACTCAAGTGTAGAAATATACACGTGTCTGCAAAATTTTTGTGGCTATTGGCTGATTAATGTATTCTTCCAGAAAACGTCGTATGTATTCTATGTGGCCGGTAAGGTACTTACCATATAAAGATCAACAATAGGAAATAAAAAGTGGTCACAAATCTGTTTTTTTTTTTTAAGTTTTTATTTATTTTTGAGAGAGAGAGAGACAGAGGGAGTGCACAAGTGAGGGAGGGGCACAGAGAGAGAGAGGGACAGAGGATCTGATGCCAGCTCTGTGCACACAACGGAGAGCCCGATGTGGGGCTCAAACTCATGAACCGTGAGATCACGACTTGAGCCAAAGGCAGACGCTTAACCAACTGAGCCACCCAGGCGCCCCTACAAATCTGTTTAAATTGAAGTCTCCTATGGAAACAAAAATAAGTAAATGGAAGTTTTCTTTATTTATCAGATAATTACTAGATACTGCTACTCTTGACATTTTCACCTGATGACTGTTAGACCCAAACTCCTATTGTCCTTCCCCAAACCTGCTCTTCTTTGTATCATTTAAGGGCGACTCCTTCCTTTTCATAGATGAGGACACAAAGTTGGAGTCATCCTTGACTTCTCTCTTTGTATTCACATTCCTCATCTTACGGGCTGTTTGTTCCTTTAAAACATGTAAATAATGCAAATGCTTCTTACAGCTTCCATTGCTGTCATGCTGGTTCATCATCATCTGTTGGGTGATTTTCTGCAAGAGCCTCTTGTTGGTTCTTCCTGCTTAACATAGCAGCCATGGTGATCCTATTAAGACACAAGTCAAATCATGTTACTCCTGCTCACTACTTTCCATTGTATCATCCCCCTAAATTCCTCATTTCACTCATAGTAAAAGGTAAGAGTCTTACAGTGGCTTATTCTCACCTGTGCTGATTGCTTCTCTCATTACTCATGCCCTCATGGACTCACTCCACTCCAGCCCCACGGGCTTCCTTACTGCTTCCTGCTGCCAGGGCTTTTGCGTTTGCTATTCCCTCCTGGTGTGAGGTTCTTTTCCCAGATAACCAGTTTTGATTTGGTTCTCACAGTGTTTGAAATGCCTGTCCTTTCTTTTAAAAAGGACTGTTCTCCCCACCCCCCCAGCTCCTTCCCTCCACCCTGGGGCCTGGGTCACCCCCTTCATCTTCTCACTTTTTCTCCCCCATGGCACTTCTCACTTTGTGTATACTATCCAGTTTACTTATTATGTGTATGGTTTGTCTCACTCACTAGAAGTCACCTTTATAAAGGTGAGGATTTTTGTCTGCGTTGTTCAGTTTCATCCCTTGCACAAGAGAAGAGTGCCTTGTACATAAGGTTCAGCAAATACTTGTTAAATGAGCGATATTATACAAAAGGACTCCTCCTCATAATATCCTTAATCAGAGAGTAGTGAGAAAAACAATACAGAAAACAAGCTTTTTTGTTATTGTCAATAGCCTTGTGGCTGATGTTTTCTTTCTATGTGAGTCAAAATATTGCCTTTGCTAATTTTTTTGTTATAGACAGTTGACCATTTATGTTCTTTCTCCTTTCTTTGTCTGCTGGTCAGTTTGTTAACCCCACATTCAAAGACTTTTTTTGTCAAATAGGAGTTAATGGTACTGAAATGTCTAGGCAGACTGCTTTCTATTCTCAAGAGCCAAGAGCCAGGACTCTTTACTTCTCTGGAAACTGGGCCAGTTAGCAAAAAAGAGTATAACATGTATATCTAAAACACAAAGTCTCACAGAAAGGATCTGTGTTTTAGATTCCTTGGATGTACAAAAGACCCAGCACAGACAGGGTTTCCTCCTCAATAACTGTAATGCAACACAGTTTTCACATCTACTGCTACTTTTGGCACGACTGCTCAAACTCATGAAAGAGATTCTTTCAGGGCACCAAATGCCCCTGATAAAATTTTAATGGGACTTGGATTTCTCAAAGACCCTTGGTGTATGTATGGGTGTGTTTCTCCATAATCTTCAAGAATGAAAATAGGCAGTAGGAGTATCTGAATATATTTTAGAGTTGAGTAAACCAGTAACTAAAAAACCCAACAATTTATAGAATCCATGAAAATTGCATACAATTGTATAAATATCACATGGGTAGCTCAAGGTGGACTGTTTGTAGAAGCCCATGTAGCCTTCAGAGTATTAACCAGGGTTCTCAGGAGTTATCATAAGGTATTTAAATCTCAAACTGTAGTGGAAATTCTGCACTATTCTGCTGCTCGATGGCTATCATGCACCCTTACTCGAATGCCCATTCCCATTATTTTCACATAGCTCCCTATAAGTTAGAGTGAGGAGAACAAAATAATGCTATACTGTAGAGTGAAAAAAGATTGGGGGAAATATATAGCTAGTTTCAAATATTTGAGGAACTTTTACTATGGAAGGTAAATAAAACTGAATTTTAGATAGGACTAGATAATTTCTCAGGTCTCTTATGATTTTATATATTAATGTAAATGATATGTTTGGAAGGTATTTTCATGGAGGTCTAATATATTATCACCAAAATACTGAATTATTATGTAGTAACTGAAATAATGTACTATATTTATTAGAAATAGATATATAAATTCTCATTTCTATTTTTGGTAGCTCATTTTCTGCCATTTAAAATATTCACTTCTTGTTGGTTGAGGACATGATTTAAAATTTCAAAATGAATAATCACCATGACATAAGATCTTTTTCTTAATGTTTATTGTAGAGGTTCCAGAAACTTTAGCAGTTGCAGTGCAGAGGACTTTGAGAAGTTAACTTTAAATAAAGGAGGAAACTGCCTTCTTAATATTCCAAAGCCTGATGAAGCCTATAGTGCTCCCTTCTGTGGTAATAAATTGGTGGATCCCGGGGAAGAGTGTGACTGTGGTACTCCAAAGGTCAGTTTAATTTTCAATTTTTGCTTTGTGAAATTACCTTAGGATTTGGAAAAAGATGGAACAGCTTGCTTTGGGCAATGGACATAGGAGTTAGTGAAATTTAGTGGCCAGTGAAGATTCATTTTGCTTGTGGGGATATATTCCTGGGATTGGTCATCTCTTCCTTCCCAGAGCATAACTAATGGTATCATCTGTTTTGGTGTCAAGTAAAGCACCGTGTTTATTCTTGTATTTTTTGCTCGCTTCTACCATATCTGTTATGGTTATTAGGTCATTTATTTACTTTGAAGAGCTAATCAGTTTTTCACTTGGCTCTTTATTTGTCAGCTTTCAGTATTCTGGCACTGCCATTGCAGAAATGTTTATTCAGTTGGATTCATTTTAATACTAAATTGAAGCCAATCCATATTCCATAGTCCTTCAGTAACAAAATCCTTGCTATTTAAATTAGCATTCCCCTTTATTAACCTTCGGTGTTGTGCCTAACGGTCTCTAGCTCTATCAGACCTGTTATCCACACTTAGTGCCATAAGCCCATGCCTGTCTTTATCATTGATTGTTCTGTATCTTAGCCATTCTCCTCTCAAAGTGGCCTGTGTCAGTCGTTTCCTCCTAGGCCTTGCATTAAATTTTGAAGAAATTTGTTAATGGTGTGCAAGCTGGTAACTAGGTGTGTAATATGGTGAATATTTTTCATCCTTTCCACTTCTTCTTCTTCTTTTATATCTGACCATATCTGGCTTTTGCCAGATGACTTCATGCTCTGGAAAGACACCGCGTATTTTATGAAGATCTTGGGACAGGCCTTCATTGCACTATTGCTGAATGTCAGGGACTTCTACTAAGTGTTTTACATGGTAAAATCCTCACAATAACCCTAAGAGATTGGTATTTTTCATACTTTCATTTCAAATGAGGAAAATAAGGCCAAAAAGATTATGTTTAATTTCTAAATTAACGTTATACTGTTGGGCTGACCAAGCTCTTCCCCTTTCCAGCCATTCTCAGATCTTTGTTCTTAAAGTGTTATAGATCTTTTGCTTTCTCCCAACTGTCCACTTCACTACCAAACTTATTGAAATGGTCTATATTTGCTTCTTAAGCTTTCACACTACACAATTACTCTTTTTTAAAAAAAATTTTTTTTTCTTTTAACATTTATTTATCCCTCAGACAAAGAGAGACAGAGCATGAACGGGGGAGGGGCAGAGAGAGAGGGAGACACAGAGTCGGAAGCAGGCTCCAGGCTCTGAGCCATCAGCCCAGAGCCTGACGCGGGGCTCAAACTCACGGACCGCAAGATTGTGACCTGAGCTGAAGTAGGACGCTTAACCGACTGAGCCACCCAGGCGCCCCCAGAATTACTCTTTAAAAAGGAACACCACCTCCCTCTCTTTGTTTTTCAACGTTTTATTTTTTTATTTTTATTTTTATTTTTGGGACAGAGAGACAGAGCATGAACGGG